ACTAGAAAAGATATTGAAAATCCGACATCACAATATTTTAGACAATTCAAAGTTCTGATGCAACGGCAACTTTTTTTTTCTGAAAGCGAAAAATCTAATTTTCAAAATCAGTTATGCAAGAAGTTTTTTAAAGAGAAAAAACTAATTAGTATGCATTATAAGTTTGACCTAAATTAAAACGAATACTAATCTTGTAAACTTTATTTTCGTATTCATTTTAATGCGCGTATCCATTCGAATAAGAGATTGAGCCTTTTTAAAACAATGACATCAATTATAAGACTTCAGTTAGGCAAGAAGAGGCGCGGTAACGCGCTTGGCTTCCGAACCGGGGGTCCCGAGTTCAAATCCTAGTGAAGACTGGGATTTTCAACTTTGGAGTCCTTGGGCGCCTCTGAGTCCACCCAGCTCTAATGGGTACCTGACATTGGTTGGGGAAAAGTAAAGGCTGTTGGTAGTTGTGCTGGCTACATGACACCCTCGTTAACCGTAGGCCACAAAAAACCTTACATCATCTGCCCTATAGACCACAAGTTCTGAAAGGGGAACTAGTTAGGCCAGGTTCACATCTAACTTTGCATTCACTTGCACCTATCCTTTGATCTGCTGGACCGTTGGGGCACTACACAAGATCTGTCAACATTCTTTCTCCATTCTTATCTCTCATTTGTCTTTGATATAATTTCATTTGGATGTTCTTTCTGAAAATATTGAAGCCTGCCTGGGTGGACCACTTAGGGGGCCGATTTTGAGTTTGTGTTTCCACACAAACCGTCTTTGTTACCTTGTTTTTTTTTCATCAGCTTTGTTTCTTCCCTTTCTTTAGGCAGAAAATCTAAATTATAATTTCTTATGTAAATATTTCCCATCTATATTGTAATTGTTCAGTAGTTACACTGAAGTGGTCAATGCTAGTCAAACTGAATTTCTATTTCATTGGACCAATAAAAATTATCTTATCATCTTAGAAGTTATGACTATTGTGCTTTTGTGCATCTATTTAGTTTTGTAATTTTTTTTAGAGATTGAACGATGATGTATAGGTCATCTGATTCTGTGGCCCACGGTTAACAAGGGAGTCATGTGGCCAGCACAACGACTAACCGCGTTTCCTTTTTCCCAAACTAATGTCAGGTATATATTAGCGCTGGAAAGCCCAAAAGATCCCAAAATTAAAAATCCCACCGAGCCTCCGATTTCAACGGTATGGTTTATTTTTTTACAGGTTATGTAGACACATAATCACACTTCAAATCGCACTTGGAAAGAAAGTGTTCTTACTTAGACCTATGTGTTGCTTTGTATGGACCAAAATGTATATAATTGATGCTGCTTCTAATGTTCTCAAACCATAGATATTTCTTTGAAACAGGAAATCAGCAACCTCTACAATATGTTCTACACTAGATACACAGTCAACAAATTTGCATATTTTCACCGAGTTACTTGTGGCATTGAACTCATGTAAGTCTTTTGATGTTCACTAAAAGTAGAAACATATCTTCACTGTTGTTATCTACGAAATAAAAACAGCGGATCCTTTGTATTTTCTTTCTTAGGATCATCAGAGCATTTGTGAAAGCCAATAATCATATCAAATATAAAGGTAAAGAAGATACACAGGCTTTGAATGAAGACGAGGGTCGTCCGAAATCGTATGTACTGAATTTTAAAAATACTTTAATAAGCCACACTTTAATTTAGGAAAATGTTTATTTTGAATCAATCATGTAAATCAGGGGTGGGCAACCTTTTTTTTAATCGAGGGCCGCATTTTAAAAAAATTTGGAATGGCGGGCCGCACATGTATATATATATATATATATATATATATAACTTAAAAAGTTATCTAACTGTGTAACATGTCTTCTATTTAATATTTAAACTGTATTATATTCACGATTCTTTCTATTTTTACCACACTCCACGTTGAAAAATTACAACAAGAGTAAGCAATTTTTGAAACTAATTTAACTATTTTTATAAATTGCTGTTTTCATTTTATATCACAATATCCCCCATAAATATACAGTTGTACTTAATGCGCAGTATTTTACTTTTTACACTCGTGCATAATGTTTCTTAACTGTAAAACTGTCTTACTAGTTGTTACCTCTGTGTGTGACTTCTGTCTAATTACAGTCAGTCAACATTGACCAGTGATTATACTTATTTAGTTTCCACAAAAAAAAAAAAAGAATACTTGCTCACAGAATAAGACAATATATGTTCGGAAGTTAAATGTCGGGACGAGCGAAACCTGCCCTTGTGGAGCATCACCAGAGAATGCTGACCATGTCCTTCAATGGTGCATACTATATCAAGAGACCCGAACAAGACTTTGGCCCCAAAACCATCCAAAGACCACTGCGCGGTTTTACTCAGATATAGAATTACTGATCTGAGCCCTACAACATGTAAAGTGAGAAGGAAGAAGAAGAAGAAGAACAGATGCATGTGTACACAAATAGTGTGAACAGCAGCAAGGTTTTTCAAGTGTGGAAATACAGTTTCTGGCACCCATAAGACTCCCGTGCAAGTACTGACTGGAACTTCTCTTTGCTTGGAGTTATGTCTTCTGGAGCTGAATCAGCATCAGCGCTAAATGGTGAGCTGATGCTATGGAAAACTGGTTATTGACGTCCTAAAATTTGCTTTTATAAATTGCACATTTAAGGAATCTTAATAAGTGTTGTTGTTTTAATCATTTCACTAGAAATAGTTTCACCTTTCAGCCAATGAAAAGGACAAAAAATGTTTTATTTTACTTGCTTGTAGAAATGGAAAAGCCTTTTTTTAAAAAAAAGATTTAACATTCATTTGCATTTATCTGTAAGCAGCCGATTGCAATAGAAATGATTAAAAACATGAAATCTGTCTTCCACTCTTCCTTAGAAATATTAGTAACAAAGTCACAATGTCCTTCAAGTTACATTACAAATTCTTCCTTGAGATATAATAATCTTCTCATTTGCGTTGCCCAAGGACATTGGATTATTTTGATCAAGAATCGGAACTTCCAGTGTCACACCCCTTACTCTTGAAATTTGATACATTTCAATTTCATATAATAATAGAGTGTAATTTTATGCAGCTTTATGCAAACTTTCCTGTTTAGAGTTTATGCCTGGGATATTTATTATAACAAAAAAAAAAAACAATTGTAAACTCGTTGCAAGCATACCCATATTTTATATTTGCATTTTACATGTATATACTGTGGGCACACCTGATTTCTAGAGGTGTCGGCGGGACGCATTAAACACTCCGGCGGGCCGCATGTGGCCCGCGGGTCGTAATTTGCCCACCCCTGGTGTAAATGATTATTTAAAATCTGTACTTCACTTAAATGTATTCACTTATTTGAATTAATTACATAAATGATTTTTGTAATTCAAAAGGTAACCATATACTTGCATATATCATATAGGGTTGTTGCGCAAAACGAATAAACTGTTTGGTTTAATAATAATAATAATGTTTATTTTCCATATGGAAATTTGTCTTACAATGTATGCATTACACCAAAAAAAAACATTATAACTATAAAAACAAAATGTACATTCACATCAGACTCACTCATAATTTACATGTGAAAGATAGTTTCTATTTAATGATTTGATTGCCAGGGGAACAAAGAGTGTGCCTGTTTGTCTTTGCTATCAATGTCTTGTATCTCTTTTGTGATGGTAAAATCACAAAATCCTGACCCAAAGGGTGTTTTTAATTTCTAGAATCTTTTTAGCTTTTTTATGGATGTTTGTCTCAAACAGCTGCCAAAATGGGGTTTGTTTTTTACCAGCAGCATTAAAGATTTTATGAAGTTTATCAGTGGACCATACCTTTTAGTAGGCGATCGAAGAGCATTATTAGAATTAGTCATGTCAGTTTATGGATTTTGTCATTGTTTTACAAACTGATATCAACTTAATCCGACTTAATTATCTAAGTTATTGTCATTTATCTTCCAACCAAAAAAAAATTAGTTAACTGTTTCATTATTTTTTATTATTTTTAATGTGTTGTCATCGATTATGAATGATTGTACAAAGTTTCCACTTCATCTAAAGTTTGGAAGCGGAGAAAATAACACGTACAAGATTTTAACCAGAGAGACAGACGGAGCGACTTGAATCGGTAAAAAAGGTTAATATTGTAATAGTTGGTTATTGTTTTTGTTGTATATTTATTTCAGTTGGATTATATATTTATAAACTGAACCTACATCCTGGAGACACTAGATACATATATGATTGGTGTATGAGTCTAACATGTTTCACTAAAATACGCTTTGAATAAGTGACTAGATCTTCTAGTTTCAGCCATGCTGCCTACGATATCGTATATTTGTGCATATTGCATATTTTGAGAATTGTTAGCACACAACATATGTCTACTCTGAAAAAGATCCTTTTCTAAACGTTGTATTTTTTTTTCTTATTTCAATTGGGCCTTTGTTATAAAAAAATTGTAATAACAAAAAAAAAGTGTTTTCTGAAATAGGTACTTTTTAAAAAAAATCTCAACAGCTTCCTTAATTTGAATGTTAGACAAAAATGTCAATGTTGAATCTAAGATAAACTGACAAGTCTCTGATATAACTAAAGAAGGTATTACTAACAAGATCCGTGACATTCCTAAAGGCGCCTCGATAAGGGAGTGGTTAACACATTATTGTTACAAAGCTTCTGTCTGTCTTTCTGTCTGTTTGAGCACGTTATTTCTATGACTCATTCTCGGATCACGTTGAAACTGCACAATTATTCTTTGACGTAGACAAAACACGAATAAATTCAAAAATAAATTAATTATTAGTTATTAATTACTTTGTTTGATACCAACAAGGGAAGCTAATCCTTTAGTATTCACGGTTATGGTTAAACATGTAGAGTTTTGTCCCATTAAATAATTGTACACTTTATATCTCTCACACCCATTCTTGCATCAAGTTGAAATTTTAAACAATTAGTTTTTGTACCAACCTAAATATGAATCAATTAAAAAAAAAAATTAATTAGTCGATTAAATATGGGTAATTAATTACTTTCTTTGATATCGAGGAAAGAGAAATAGCTTCTACATTTTTGAGTGATAGAGTTTTTTAAAAAGCATTTTAAAAATATTTCGCTTGGTTCTCTAGTGATCATATGTGTTTATTACTGTAAACATTAAAACTTATATGCCTTTAGTTGTTTTCTGTTTCAAATTATGTGTTAAATTTAGTTTATGAGTAAACTAATATTTCTTCAACGCTAAACTTATGATGCAGACTAGATTTCGGTATATACCACTGTCATAAAAACATGGCCGCCTTCACTAAGCCTTTAGTTGTTTTCTGTTTCAAATTATGTGTTAAATTTAGTTTATGAGTAAACTAATATTTCTTCAACGCTAAACTTATGATGCAGACTAGATTTCGGTATATACGACTGTCATAAAAACATGGCCGCCTTCACTAAGCTTACAGATAGCGTCCTCTTCACCATTCGTACCATTGAGTTGCCAGACAAGCCACCCGAAGAGAAGGACGAAAAACAGAGATGGGAAGATTTAAAAGAGGCAAAGGAGATCATTGAGCGAATTTTCCGCAGAGATCTATTTAAGTGTGTGTATGAGTCCCAGCCCAGAGCGCCTAAAGACTTAAGAAACGTAAGTCATTAAGACAGATATTTAAAACAAATACTTGAACAATAACATGTAGCCAATAGTCGTTTACCAAACAACATTATATTCAAGTAACAAAACAAAAATGTATTTCTATACAATGACAGAGTCTGGAAATTGATGAGAAATCAAATATAGAAGAAACAGTTTTTCAAAGAATGAAACAAGAAACTGAACTGGGAGAACAAGATATAATAGTGAAGGTAAATGTTTTAGAGAAACAATGAACTAAGGGAACTATTAGCCCTTAGCATGTCTATTTTTTTCATAGATCCTTTGATTTGATTACCTTAAATGATTTTAAGCATTTCAGTAGGGTCAGTGTCAACATATATCTCTTGAAAAATGTGACTTGTATAAAAGCAATTTATTGTCTTGGGCTTTGGTAACTGTTTTGCAGGAGGCTGGTGTGGACAGTTTAGAAGCACTATTGACCAATCGACAGCTGCGCTTGGTCGGACACCTATTCTTAAGGGATATCTAAGGGAATGTTTGTTTTTGGCGAGCTTAAAGGAGGATGGCGTAACAGAGGTGCCCCAGCCCCGCAAGCGCAATAAAATTCAACTCAATTAGCCCTCATTTGCATAGTGTAAAGCAGCAAGCGGAAGATGGTCTCTGAAGGAGACGCAAAGAAAACTTAAATAGACCCCCGTTGGTCAACGGCTTTCTCTAAAATAGATGTGGAAACTATGAAGGTTTCACCTGGATTTGCGTAATCATGTGAAACACTGCACTCATCCTTAAGTCTTTCATGCATGAACAAAAAAGTGGATGTCCTAGAAAGTTAACATTTGCAATTAGACAATTTTTTTTACTAAAATAAACGTATATATTCCAAATGTAAATCTATTGCGTCACTGAAGGCCGAGGGGGGGGGGGAGGGGGTCAATAAAACTTCTATTATAATACACACTATGCTTGAAAGCTGAAAATATTTTGATTACATACAGATCAATTTTTAATGGAACTCAACTAATAATTTTTAACGTCAAAAATGTTTTTAGTAGCATACAATAATATTTATTACATTCTGTCACATTTTATTTACGTATTGTCATACCACGAATCATTTATTTTCTATTTTAAAGCTAGATTTTCATCTTCACTTTTATAAAATATACAAGAGATTTTAAAATACTTAAATTAGAAAAAATGGACATTCAAATGGGTGCTAAGAGCTAAAGGGTTAATATTGGGAGTCGAAGACGTTGATGTTCCCATTAGTTTCTATTTTCATTGAGTCTACACGGACCTTAAACCAGATAGAAATCATTATAATAAATAATTATTATTTCTAACTTGATGTCGTTATAACACTCGAATAGCAAATTGCTTTAAAATTTCTCATTTGAAAGCAAACCTTTTTTTTTCTTCCAATCTTATAACTTCTTTGTTTTACCCTCTTTAGCTCAGAGACCAAAATTCTTCCTTTCGTTATTGATTTTGCTTTACCCCAGCATTGTCACAATTTTATACTTTCATCAGTTTTCCTTTTTGTGTGTGTCTATTCAGGTCATCAGTTTACATTTCGGTATGAAAGAAGAAAACCCGGTGGAGAGACTTAAAGTTTACTCAAAACAAACTTTGAATGAAGCCAGACACTTAAAGAAAGAAGAGGTATTCACATAGATTAAGCTTGCATATACTTAAACTATTTATAACAACAATTATGGGTCAGAATTACAAGTCCTGGGTGGCTGAGCGGAATAGCGCCTGGCTTCCACACCAGGGTCCTGGGTTCGAATCCTAGTGAAGACTCGGATTTTTTATTTTAATCTTCAGGTGCACCCACTACTGGGTACCTGATATAAGTTGAGGAAAAGCTAAGGCGGTTGGCCGTTGGGCTGGCCACATGACACCCTCGTTAACCTTATGTCACAGAAACATATGAACTTTACATTCTCTGGTTTATAGACAACACGGTCTACTTTTTTCATATGAGTACACATTTATATAAATTAGTGTGTTATAAATATGTACAACTTAACATTTAAGATGTAATAATTGATAATTACAGGCAAGTAGAATCTTAGGACCTGTCAACTTTAATGAAGTTCTAGTCAGAATCTACAGCACTTTGAGTAAATATAAAGATAAAGATTTGGTTGATGATAGAAGCAAGCTCATTAGGAAAGCGGCAGACAAAATTTTAGAGGTTAGTTATGCCGATTCACTAGTGTAAGAAGGAACTGATACAACTACGTACACTAATTTCTTAATTTACCTTGTGCTAACTATGGTTCTAATGTTTGAGCATACAAGGTTCAAAAACAATTTAAAAAAAAAAACGTGTATGCTTTCATGAAAGTGTAAAAAAAACCCTTACTGAACTCACATGAAGGCGATGTAAAAAACTGGATTTCTAAAAAACATTTTCAGTTTTTAATATCCATAAGTGATACATAGAAGAAAAGACGGATATACTGATGATAATACTTAGTAAAAATAATTAAAAGTAATTTATATTGTAATGTTCATGTAAATTAAACCTATATGGTGATTTGAGCGTAACTTGAACGTTCTAGAGTCTAACCCTATAGTAGATAGTTTTTTATCTACATTCTACATTCGATAAGTCCCATGTCCAAGTAGAACATATGCTAGTTTGTAATTGTCATTGGGGTTGATAGAAGTGCTCTTGGAAACTAGGAAAAATCGTTTTGTCTGAAAGGGTTCCAAGCAGATACTAAATCGGTTCACCTGGGGAACATTTCCCAAGATACTCGGGGTAGAGGCGAGGCAGAAAGCAGATCTACCCGAGGACAGCGTATTATTTTCCTTCTAATTATCAAATTGGGCCGTGCGCTGTCGCTGTACAAATCTCCTTTCAGCAACGATCTGTGGATTGTGGGGTTTCATTTTGCTTTTTCATTTCCCCTGTTCATCTCCTCTAAGGAAAGTTTCCCATCTGGGTGCCTCAATGAGGCTGAGAATTGTTGCCAGAGAATATTTAACTGCTTCAAATGTTTTAGAAACTGTCTAATATTTTATTTTCTTCAATGTTTCTTCCAGGTCAAGCCTGACCCCAAAACCCCACAACTGGAAACATAGGGAATAGCTTGATATGCAGTAAATGTACTTGTGTCTTATTGTCCATTAACTTAAGATGGTGTGCAATATAACAGAAGTCAAAGTAAAGGGAAACTGTTCATATCATAACTATATAGTTTGTTATCCTTGTCAATGAAAGAGGACATGTTATATCAATCATTTGTACATTAAATTACATATTTTTATTTATTTATACTATATCATTGTTCAAAATGAAAAAGTGATTGACAATTTTTTTTATTTATTACTAATTTATATCTATAATTCTGAAGTGTACACTTGATAGAGTTAATAAAACATGTTTTGACATTCTTAAAAATAAATAAATTTACCAAAGCTATCAGAAAATGTTTCTTTCTTATTTTAGATGGCTAAAGAGTAAAGCGCTTGACATCCAAATAGAAAATAAGGGTCGTGTTAAGGATTTTAAAAAAATATATGGCAATTATGTGGCAATTATGTGGAAATTATGTGGCAATTCTGTGGCAATTATATTGCAATTATGTGGCAATTATATGGCAATTCAGAGGCAATTCAGTGGCAATTCTGTGGCAATTATGTGGCAATTATGTGGCAATTATATTGCAATTATATGGCAATTATGAGGCAATTCAGTGGCAATTCTGTGGCAATTATATTGCAATTATGTGGCAATTATATGGCAATTATGAGGCAATTCAGTTGCAATTATGTGGCAATTATGTGGCAATTCTGTGGCAATTATATTGCAATTATGTGGCAATTCTGTGGCAATTATATTGCAATTCTGTGTCAATTCTGTGTCAATTCTGTGTCAATTCTGTGGCAATTCTGTGGCAATTCTGTGGCAATTCTGTGTACTTTAAGCATCTCAGAATCAAAAATTCAAAATCTTCCGTTAATCGCACAAAATATTTTCCATTGCGAGGGAAACATTAAAAACTTTCAACTCTAAGACTGAAAACTTGTTGAAAAACAAATGGACAACTAACTAGCAGTAATAAAGGAGTATTGATAAGAACTTCAACCGCCACACATTAAGGTATTATTCTAATAATAGGTTAAATTATTTGCTTTTAAAGTTGGCAACACTGAAGTTCAATTTAGTGGCCTTGATATTGCCTAGTGTATCACGAAAATCTCCAATATATACATTACTAGACTTTAGTTTCTATAGAGAAAAGTAAATAAGAAAATAACTCGTTTCCTGTAGTTCATTCTTGAAATCTCGGTCCAAAAAATAAAAAAATCGGTCTTTATAGTGTTCCACGCTATTAGGTTTGTGTGGACTGTTTGTCCGTCCGTCTGAAAAGATATTGAAAAAAAGATATTGAAAATCCGATATCATGATATTTGTTAAATACTATTTTACTTATTCTAAACGGGAGTCCAAACACATCCAAGGGACACAGCAATGAATTATATACTTAATAAGACTTGTGAAGACTTCAACTGATGTTTATTTACAGATGAGAATGATCGTCTTGTCTATTTGTCTATCGTTTTAATTAGCAGATGATTGACTATACAAGCCCT